AAAAAAAAAAAAAAAAAAAGATAAGAAACTTGGAATCATCACCTTGTTGTATGTAGTAACATTGGCAACCAACTCTGCCCAACTGTGTCCCATCCGCGGATGATAGTACACAAATGATAAACCATTTTTCCTGCACTCTGGCAAAGGTAACGGACCTGATTCTTAGAGACCAGCCAACCCCCTCTACCACGTCTTGACCCGCAGAGGCAGCGCTGCCCCTTGGCAGCCCGATCCACTCTCGCCAGCGCGCGCGGCTGCTACTCACGCGCGCACTGCAGGCCTTTGCGCACGACGCCCCAGATGAAGTCGCCGCAGAGGTCACACCACGTGTGCGTGGCAGGCCCGGCGGGCTGGAAGCGGTGGCCGCGGCCGGGGACCAGCTGCTGTGCAGAGTTGCGCGCGGTGCCCGGTGCAATTCGCAGCGCATTGGCACGCTCCAGCCGGGTGCGGCTCGGGCCGGCGCGACCGGCGGGTGCCAGCTCCCGCAGCTCAATGAACTCAGGTTCGGTCGACATGGCCCGATTGGGCTGGGGCTTTGGCTGGTTTTGAGAGCTATAACTAGCTGGAGGCAGGCAGCGCCGCAGGGCGGGCCTGACTTTAGCGCCGCCCCCTGGATCTCGTCTGGGCGGCGGGAAAGAGCTGAGCAGAGCCGCGCAATCTGGGTGCGTGGACTGTGAGGTCCGGAAGGCAGAATCGGGCTGGGTATAGCGGCGCTCTCCCAGAGCCCCTTCCCTGCTTTTCCCTCCCTCTTTAATCCTCTCCCCACCCGCTGACTATGGCGGCGACGGTGACCGCAAGGCGCCACACGGAGACATGGGTGTTTCTGAAGGCCAGCTGTTTACTGTGCTAGAGGAAGAGGGTCCCCGCATCCGGCCCGGGCCATCTTGCCCCAGTTTTCTGAGTCAGTTTCTACCCAACGGACAGGAAGTCAAGAACCTTAGCTTGGGGAGGTGTGGGGGGATGGGCCAACAGTTTCTACCCGTAGCTCTGCTCACCACCAGGGAGATTGAGACACTGGCAGAGGCCGGACTGAGATCCTGAGGTTCAGGGGTGCATTCTGTGTGGGTTCCTTTGGCGTGGGTGGTTGGCCCTCAGCAAGTCCAGCTCTCATTTGGCTCTGTCACCCTGGGCTGCCAGGACACAAGCCTTTCCATGCTTTTCCCAGTGCTTGACTTGGCACTGTCTGCAGGCAGGTGGCTTGGTGAGAATAGCAGTGTATGTGGGAGATCTGGAGTGGGGTTTAGGGGATCTGGAGTCGGGTTTAGGGGATCTGGAGTGGGGTTTAGGATCCCAGGTCCTAGGGTGTGCTTACCTGCAGCAGTACCACTCATTCTGGCATTGAGAGCAGCGCTTAGAGGCCTCTGCACTACAGTAAGCACAGCGGGGCCGCTCCGGAGCCACTGCCTCTAGCACATCCAGCCTGTAGGTCTCAGCCCACCTAGAGGAGGGTCAGGAGGGCCTGACCGAACCTGGCAGGTGGGGCACCCTGCCCACTTCCGTGCCTCCTGCATCCCATCCACCCCTCTGTCAGTTCATCAGGCCTTACCTTCGTGCCTGCAGCCGCAGGTCCTGCTCAGATGGGCTGAATACATGCCGAAGCTGATGCTTAGCAATAGCCTGCCACTTACCTCTGTTCTCTTGCTCCAGCCGCTCACGGATTTCTGGGATCTAAGGGAGAGAGGTGGAGTGTAGCAGGAAGGAGCTGGCAAAGAGGACAATGGTCCTGAGCAACTAACCTTCCAGTGCCTACCTGTTCTAACACCAGATCCTTCTTAGGGGGCTGGGTTTCAGCGAGGGCCAAGTGGGTCAGGAAACCCTGCAGGTCTGCCAGGTTGGGCAGCTGATCAAGTAGTGTGTCTGTGAGGAAGGCCCGAAGCTGCAAGGATGTCCAGTTGTGGCAGATGTGAGTCAGGTGCTCGCCAGAGGGGCAAGGAACAGGGAGGGCCAGGTTGGGTTGAGGGTTTCTGTGGGGCCCATATCTCATTAGCTGCTGTGTTGCCTGAAGCCCAAGGACTGGAAAGAGGACTGGGGCTGAGGTGGGTGGTCAAAGATAAGCAGCCACTGTCTCAGTGCCCGTAACATAGTGGTTATGGTGCCAGCCACATACACTGAGGGTAGCGAGTTTGAACCTGGCCTGGTCCAGCTAAACAATGACAACTGCAACAAAAAATAGCTGGGCATTGTGAGCGCCTGTGGTCCCAGCTACTTGGGAGGTTGAGGCAAGAGAATTGCTTAAGCCTAAGAGTTTGAGGTTGCTGTGAGCTGTGATGCTATGGCACTCTTATCGAGGGTGACATAATGAGACTCCATCTCAAAAAAAAAGATAAGCTGCCAAATGCAGTGGGAGTGGGATGGAGGTGGGGCAGCAGTGGGGCTGTAGGGACTGGTGTGAAGATCACTCCCTACCTTGAGTAGTTGTCCCTTGGCAAAGCTGGTAAGGCAATATCGGGCCTGAGCCCCAGGGCTTAGCAGTAGGTTGTACAGGGTGATCCACACTTGCCCATCTAACTTGTTCAGCTTTTGCTGCTTTGAGGGGGCCACCGTCTGCCAACAGCCACCTTCAAATTGCTGCAGCTTGCCTGGGGGGAGGCAGCACATTGGGTACAGGCATTTCATTCTCTTTGAGTGAGCCAGCTGTGTCATCTAGGGGAGAACCTGGGCCACAGCACTTGTCCAGGCTGTGGTGTTGCTAATCCCAGAGCAGGGTGAGTACTCAGTAGTGGACACTTAGGCCTTGCCTGCTATAGAGCCCAGGTCTTGGCCCACCTTGGGTGAGGCATAATGGTATTCTCTGAGGGTTGGGGGATGGGGTTTGTATGCCTGTGTGTCACCTGCCCACCATGATCAATCCTGGAAGCAATGGGCTGGTGTTTAGATGTGTAGGGGAGGACCTTACCTCCTTCCCTCCGGCTCCAGGGACTGTGCTCCAGCAGTTCCACCAGAAGACAGGGCAGGTTGTGGGTGCTGAGCATGCGGCTCAAAGTGCTCAGGGAAAGGCTAGGGGCCAGGGTGCCAGGAGGGAGGTGAGCAGAAGCAAGCTACAGGCCCAGTTTTCCAGCCCTCCTCTGTAGGCCCTACACCCATTCAGGCTGCCCACCTGTCCACACAGTCTGTAATATAACGCAGTACTGAGAGGGCCTTAAGAGCAATCTCAAATTCCATCAGCTCTGCCTGCTTCTGCAGCTCCTAGGATACATTGGTTAAACTAGGCTACCCCCAGCTTGCAAAGGCTGTGGAAAACCTGGATCTAGTCCTTGCCAACCCTAGGGAACCTCAACCTACCTGCATGGGGGTGCTGTCCTCAGACCCCTCATCCTCATGGAGGCTACCATGGCCACTCCGGGCCACCAGCAGAGTCAGTTTGCGGTGGCAGTAGTCCACAAGGTCCAAGATAGTGTCTTCTGCTGACTCACACACCTCCTGGTGGTAGGGGGAAGGAGAACGTTCTGTCTCTTGTCTTCTTCACAGATGTTTTTTTTTTTTTTGAGACAGAGTCTCACTATGTTGCCCTTGATAGAGTGCCAAGGCATCACAGCTCACAGCAGCCTGAAACTTTGGGGCTTAAGCGATTCTCTTGCCTCAGCCTCCCAAGTAGCTGAAACTACAGGCACCTGCCAGAATGCCCAGCTATTTTTTTTTTTGAGACAGAGCCTCAGGCTATTCCCCTGGGTGGAGTGCTGTGGCATCACAGCTCACAGCAACCTCCAACTCCTGGGCTCAAGAGAGCCTCCTGCCTCAGCCTCCCAAGTAGCTGGGACCACAGGCGCCCTGGCTATTTTTTTTGGTTGCAGCTGTTATTGTTTGGCGAGCCTGGGCTGGATTCGAACCACCACCTTAGGTGTATGTGGCTGGTGCCTTAGCCACTTGAGCCACAGGTGCTGAGCCACCCAGCTATTTTTTGGTTGAAGTTATTGTTTAGCAGACCCAGGCCAAGTTCGAACCTGCCACCCCTGGGGTATGTGGCTGGTGCCCTAACCACTGAGCTATGGGCGCTGAGCCCTCACACAGATTCAACCTCCCTTTCTGCTAGGCTATGACTTGGAGCAGTAGCTCATGGGCAGAGACAGTATCTCACCTTGTGGAAGAACACTGTTTCCAAGAGGTTGATGATGGAGGCCTCATGGTGGACCTGTCAAATGAAGAGGAGGACAGGGCCTGAGACTGCTAAAGGAGGGACAGGGGCCACTAGCTATCCTCCCCAGTTCAGGGCCCTCTGAAGGGGTGGAAGGTCTGAACCAGGGGCCCAGCTCACCACCATGTATATGGGGAAAGTATTCTGGGGCTTGAAGTCCTCCAGCCTGCACAACACAGGGAACACCTTCTGCTTCCACATCTCCACTGCGATCAGCTCCTCCACAAGTGTTGGAATCTTTGACAGGTGGGGGAGAAGACAGGCATGAGTTGAGCCTGCCTTAGCCTGGCAACTCTTCTATCCTTGGTGTGTCCCAGCCTAGCTCTCCTCAAACTCCCCTTGGGCTCGTAGACTCTCCCAGACCCCAGAAGTTCCCTGTCTGACTTCTTTACTTCACCCTAGACTTTCATTTTTAGCTGCTCTCAATGTCTGTGGGGACATATACCCCATGTTTCTGGTGACTGATGCCACCCTTTGCCCAGACTGCCTTGTACTCCCTTTACCCTTATCTCCACTATCTTCCCCTTCCCCGTCCAGGTATCCCTTTCAGGCCAGTCCCTCTGTTAATGCCCTCCCTCTTGTCCCTGTCCTTTGGCCCTCCAAGACTCCAAGACTCTTAAGACCATGGCTTCACCCTTACTCAGGGCTCTTCATAGTTCCTTGTTCCTACCTCATCCCTTAGTGGTGAACTCCCCCACTTTTCTTGCAAGGAAACCCTTTTGTCAAGTGGTATCTCAGGTTTTTTTTTTTTTTTTTTTT